ATAAAACTGCAGAGTTGAAAAATCGCTAGCTACTTGTTATTTGCGCTGCTGGAGTAAAAAAGGGGTCTTTCCCTCGGAGCAAATTCGGGAGGGGTTAACCAATCACCCTTAGATCGAATAAACTGGACGGACATTGCAAATTGTAGCAATAAACCTCTAACCTGTACATAAAGGCCTCAGGGGGATTTGCCCTTTTTGAAATTATGTGTACATGTGCACGCGAATAAGACGAAATTTGAATGTAAACAGCTCCCTAGAGTATTATCACATGACCAACATGGCTAGCAAAATATGCAAGCTATAGTAACAGAGGTCTACTCGTAGCAACGTACTATACAATGTGAAATTACTGGTATTCAGCTGACGCCTCGTGATGAGGTTACAGCGGCCATGCTGGTGGACAAGAACAAAGGCGTTTCCCTCCCCTGATGGCCTCCCACGCTGACGTTTTGGCTCGTCACGCAATCCTTTTCAACGAACGAGGGGGGTGGGGGGGAGGGGAGAACGCCGGATTGGGAGGCTACTCCGCTGTTAGGTAATTTATTTTTATGCATTGTTTACTGTTTTGGCCACTCACACCTGCCTTGCACGCGGTTGAAAACCAGTTATACCTTGTGGTTTTTGGATATTTTTTGTAGAATTTCTTATGTACAGGTTGCTTTCTCAGTCCTGCATCGTATATTCCACCGAAAGGATACATTGATTGCACCTTCAAAACTTTTGTGCTGTTTGGGTCGTCACAGGACCTCCACACTTTCCACCTTACTCCAATCACGAAGTTAGTCTCATCTCAAATTATAGAAGAGGAGAATTCCCCCTCTCTTAAAGTCCATTCCTGGTTGCACCGCTTAGACTGCACAACCTCTTCAGCGGGAGAGGTTGTTGTATGGTTCAGGGAATTAAAAAATTCAACTCAATCAATTATTCATCTTTCTCGCTGTTAGACAGCTCTAAAACTCTACTTCTATCGACAGGAGAAAGAGAGCCCCTTGTGAAGCGGCGCCTTCTTGCCCCCCCCCCCGGAAAAGTATGACACCATCGAAAACTTTGGTAGTACCCATCGAAAGGCACAACCTCGTTTCCAGGCGCGAAGAGCGACCCTGGGAACGAAATTGATAACGACGTGAGCCCGTGTCAGAGTGCAAGGTCCATAGAGCGTTTTCACATGACGTCATGGCGGCTATATTGGTGTGCCAAATTCCAAACCAATTCCGTGGAGTTGAACTCTTTTCCTGTGTAAACGCTTTCTTTTGTTCCAACGAATTCGGACCAAACGAGTGACAACGCTCTATAGACCGGCATTTCGCTTGAAGAAAAAAGAGCGACTACAGTCGGATTGTGAAACGTTTTTCTTTTCTTATACAATACTCGTATAATATACGTTTACTCATGCTTATAATTTAAAACGAAACATGCTTTTTAAATGAGTATATAAATATGCATGGCAAGAAGTCTCCTGGAATACATTTTCCTTAAGTTATTTATCGTGCAAGAACCTAACAAGAGCGCAGCCCAATGATACTTGCAAAAAAACGTATTTTACAGAGAGCGCGTAAAAGAATCCTTCAGTTATTTTAGCCACCCTTTAAAGATGAAATACGACGACTGACGAGAACTACTCTTCATGAGTGCGTACAGTGTATTTATGACACTGAAAAACTAAAACATTGAGAATTGAATGGATTTCCTGTCTCCGACTAACCCCCCCCCTCCCCACCCCAAATATTAAGTATTACGGAACATTGATTATTGTAGACTTTAGCTGAAATCCTTAACCCTAACGGGGTGTAGCTAGGATCTCTCAAGGGGGGGGGGGGAATCTTTTCGTGGGAGGAAGGGACAAGCCTACAAAATAGCTGCACACTTGAGATGAGTCACGCGGCGAGAGGGACCGTCTATATAAAACCAAAGTTTGGTCCATACAAGAATTACGGACGAAAAATCTTTGATACAAAGAAATTGTTTTTAAAAAAGTTGTCTTTCAAACGATGGTTTTTGAAATATTTGGACACGAAATGGCCGAGGTACGGACACTCGAAGAGAATGAAGTTTAGGATTTCAGCGTCGACTTTGGTTATTCACGGAAATGGTAAGGATACCTCTCACGGGGGAGGGGGGGGGGGGGTTGGGGACGGAAGAGCACTCCAGGACCCTCCTCGCTACACCCCGGCCTTAAAAATGTGACCTTTAAGAGATCAGCACTTTCCTATGACTGTTTATTCCTCACTTCAGAAACTCTATGGAGAATGGGTACAAGCTTTAGGTGCAGTGATTTCTGGGAATGTTTGGCTGGACAAGCGTTAGTTATGATTGGTCGATGGTATTCACCAGTCGTAAGTACATGTAACGCTTATCGCCCAGAAATGGTTGTGCTAAGAGCTTGTACAGGAGCTGTCCTAGCTTGTACTACTTCCTGTTATAGTTTCTAGATAGGGGAATTACGCTGTACATGGTGTTTCATAAACTTTCAATAACATTAACCACGACTATTTAAACACTAGATGTATATTTCTTTGGTACAGCTATTTTTTCTTGTTATGTTACAAAATAATAATTTGAGATTTAAAAATTGTTGTTTCTTTTTCTTTGGCAGTAAACGATTTAATTTTAAAAGCATAACAAACCCCTAATCATGATTCTTAATGCTATAGAGCTGGAAATTTTTCCCACAAGCGCGCTCTCATTGGTTACTTCGAGGTCACATGACATCCGACAATAAAACTGTTTCCTGCCAAAGTCTTTGAGCGGACAACACTGCAAAATCTATGACGTCAGAGGGTAACAGTGCACTGTTGCCCGCGAATGATGACCGACGACTGCCGTTACAGCGATGTTTAATGAATTTCCAGCTTCAAAATTTCCAGCTATAATTATAACAAATCACTGAAAGACTGGCCACGAGGGAAACAGTTAATCCCTCGCATCAGTCATTTAGTGTTTATTATTCATGCATACATAGTCCATCGAATGAAAATAATGTCGTCTATACATGTACATTAAGAAGTTATGGAGGTTTAAATTGAAGGCAAATGATCCATGAGCTTGCTATGTTTTACTTTGTCCTTGTTTTTGTCTAACGAAAAAAAAAGAGAAATCTTTACTAATTAAAATTTGTCAAAATAAAAAATGCTGTTCATGTTTGCCGTAAACAAGATTAATTTTTTTATATAAAGGAAGACGCAAGAGTTAGTTGCCCTCTAGATGGACTGAGAAAGCCAAGCGCGAAGAGCGAAAAATGCGAGCAAAGCCGAACAATCACTTACAATAACTGAGCGATTTCTCGCGCACTGATTGGTCGAGAGCTAAAGTCGATAAGAGTACAGAAGATGGTAATGACGTGATGGTGTGGCAATTTTTTTTGTTAATGCAGTAACTCGAGTTTTTAACACGTCGATAAGAGTACAGACCATGGAGAACTGTCGTCGATTTGTTAAATTAAAAGTTATCACAATACTTTCGTTACTCATTACCAGCGGCTACCGTACCTTTAGTATAGAATGAAGGCGATCACTCATCATTAACAGCGTAGAGAAAAATGATAGTAAGGTTTTTTCTCTTTCAAGAAAGCCAAATTTTTGCATTTACATGGGCAAGTTTAGAAAACCTTGAATTAAAACAACCAGCACAACTACAATAACAGATTCAACAACTCTGCACGTGCATGACATTTTTGCTGTCGTCGTCGTAGTGAAAAGGGAGCTTAGGCAAGCACCACCACGATGAAAATGAATTCACGTTCTTTCAAACTTTCTCGCGTCCATTTGGACTCGCTCAATTTGTCAAATGTAGGCGAGTTTTCCCGCAGTGGAATTCTTAAAGGACTTTATCCAGGTTCAAAAAGAGAGAGGAAAATTCGTCGTCAAATGTTAACGTCTTCTGTAAAACGTCGCATTGGGAGGTTTCAAATCGTAGTCGTGCAGTGAACGTGAAAGAAATGTACTAAAAAGCGTGATGCACGTGCAGAGCTGTTGTTTTGCTCATACAACCAATTGTTTTTTCACGCTGTCGTCGTCGTCGGGGTAGCTTAAGCTCCCTAATGCTAAGTTCCGATTGATGACTGCAAAGAAGTGCCAGAAATTCTTCAGTTTATGCTTCCTTACCTGTTCTATCCGGAGCTGGTGATTCCGTGGCAAGCTGAGGTAAGTGATGCGAGGGAGGTTCATTATCTGACGAAGGTTTAATTCGTTGCTAAACAAGCAAGGAAAGAAAATAATCTATTAGAGTTACTGAATGTATTCAATGAAGGCTACCGCGAAGTTCTTGTCGTTTAAAATACTGTGCTGTTATCGTCAAAATCCTCGTGTAGCCATTTGAAAAAAAGCTACTGAACAGAACTTTCCTGTGGTACTGTTTATTATGCTGTACAAGGTGGTTCTAACTTTTGAGTCTGCGGACGAATTCCTATGGTGTGACCGTTCATATGAAAGCTACTGAACAGTACTTTCCTGTGGTACTGTTTATTATGCTGTACAAGGTGGCTCCAACTTTTGAGTCTGTGGATGAAATCCTATGGTGTGACCATTCAAATGTAAGCTACTGAGCAGTACTTTCCTGTGGTACTGTTTATTATGCTGTAAAAGGTGGTTCTAACATTTGAGTCTGTGGATGAAATCCTATGGTGAGACCATTCAAATGAAAGCTACCGGTATAAGGAGTTCTTTCCTGTGGTGCTGTTTATAAAAATGTATAAGGTGGTTCGAATTTTTGAATCTGTGGATGAAATTATCGTCTTAAATGAAATGTGGAAATTTTTGTGAATTTCTTTTGTCGAAAATCTCGCGTTTGGTTGAAAGAACCTACCCTTGTTCTTCTCGTTTTAACAGCAGGAGCTCTCATTGGTTCATAATCATCAAAATATGCATGTGCGAGAAGCTCAGCACAAGTTAGCCGCTGTTCAGGATCCATTTCAAAACACCCCTATATACAGATAAAATCAAAGCAAATCATTGACTACTCTTTCAACCTTTAACTACTGATGCCACAACACCAAATGCACTGGAATTCAGTTAACGAAGTGTATATCCACATACCTTCATAAAATTCATAGCTGTGCTTGGTAGCTTGAATTTGGATTCTAAAGGGTCCTGAAACAAAATCAAATTACTTTGCTTACATCCTCTGCATACACTGCAGCACAAGAAAACCAAATAATAGACACTTGTACTTCTAGGTTCAACTTTTCTCCTACAACAATGAAAGTTGTAATGCTGCAGCCATGAGAAAAGAGATCGAGTGCTACTGAAAGTAAGTTGTTGCATTAACTTTCTTACCATTTCTTTTGGCTCTGGTATTGTATATCCATGATAAAATTTATTTTCTCTGAATATCTTCTTTTGCTTCTCAGTAAGATCACCTGCAAGTGCATTCCAACAAAACATGCACTTATTAGCATATATGCAGTAGTTAATGGCCTGTGTTCACTTAAAAGAGCAATGCAGCCCTTATTAAATATTTTGCCTTGCCAATGGTTTCTTAACCCTTTAAATCCCAATATCCACATACAAATTCTCCAAACTGGTCTCTATACATTTCCATAAAGAATGTGTAAAGAGAATTTGATAAAAGATGAATGCATTGTTTTTTTCAGGTGATTATTTTATTATTTTATCAACTCTCACAACCTATTCTCTTGATTGTGTATTATTTATTGTTAGGAGAAAATTGATGTTGGTCACTCTTGGGACTTCGAAGGGTTAACCAAGGGGGGGAGGGAGGGGGGGGGCTGCCAGAGGTTCATCAGTGTTTTACTGTAAAGTGCTACCTGGAAGTTCCCACTGGGGGCTCTGGGCCAGGTTCCTCGAAAGATGGTTAAGATTAACCGAGGATTAAGCCAAATTTTAAGAAGGTTTTCTCGTCGACAAACATGTCACTCAAGCTTACAAAATACTGTTGTGTCTTAACTTCGAGATTCAGTGATGATAACACAGAATCTTACTCTGAGCAATGCATAGGAAGGTAAATAGAAAAACAAAAATGGAACAAAATTTTTAATCCTGGATTAGCACTAATCTGCCATTCAGGACCCAGGGCCAGATTTTTTTGCAAGCAGTTCTTTGTTGTACCTAACATTCATTTCTAGTTTCTTTGCACTTAGGTGGTTGATTATTATTATCATTATTTTATTTTCATTATCATTTATCATTATTATTACAGCACTCAGAAAAAAGCTCAAAACTTGCTCTGTTATTAAGGTGGCTGAACACAATTTTGGCAGTTTGTGAGTACATGTCATTTGCCAAATCATGGCAAGAGAAGGGTTGCATCTCACAAGCTGAAACTTGGCAAGTGAAAAATATACTGATGAAAGATTTTGATTGACAGGTAAAATTTGGCATTTTCGTAGTTTCCATGGCAACACGAATGATTGAATACAACCTTAAAATTTCACTTTTGCTCAGTTTATAGAAAATTCACTCATTAGATTTTCCTATAAACTTGCACATAGCTTACTATAATTAATCATTACCATTTGAAACTTATTTGACCAAATTTTAACATAGGGGTTTTTAGATAATCAGTAATATAATTGTACTGTAATTATTAAATGTGTCACAAAAATCGTCTGTTCAACTTCCATTTTAAAGTTCTCATTATCTAAAACACGATAAAAGTAAAAATTCCTCCAAATATCACAAAATTTTAATGAGTAACTTTGGAGAAATTGTCTTCTGTTTACCATTGCTTTTTCGCCGCCATGTTTGTTTGTCTAAGTTAAAACACTCTCCGTCACCCGAGTTACCGCTGACCGCCCGCAAAACTGTGTTCAGCCACCTTAAAAAAGGTATAAAGACAAGATTGGGGAGTCCAGTATGTCAAGAGACCCAAATTATTTTCAAAACAAGTTCAACAGTTTTGAAAATGTTTCACTGCTTTTGCAAGCATTGATGGCAGTACAATTTGAGTACAATGCCAGATCCCCAATACACATAAAACCCTCAGTTACACTGTACATGTATTCAGTACTGTACATGTACTTTATAAATACCTAATGTCTTTCTGATCAAGTGTATTTGATCAAGATCTGATCTGCCTGGCCATAATGGCTGGCCTGTTATAAGCTCGGCAAATACGCATCCTATCGCCCACACATCCACTGGGAAGCTATACTGTACATCGCCCACAAGAAGCTCTGGTGCACGATACCACCGTGTTGCCACATAGTCTGTACACTCATCATTTTTTGCTAAAAGTCCAAGAAAATAAAGTAATAAGGAGAAGTTCCATGATATATTATGAGCATTGCAAATCTTTTAACAAGGTGCCATACTTCAATTCAGAGGTTTACATTAAAACTAACGGTTACTGTTCACTTGACATTGAGGCACAATCAGTTTTTAACAGTTTGTCAGCTATAACAGAAAGTAAGAATACAAAGGGAAGTTGTTTATTTTTTAGTTATTGGAAAAAATAAAGAATGGGCACCATTTTCTCTGTGGTGCCAATTTACTTCATTTTTGCACAAGCTCCAATTGTACTTGCCTCATTTTAAGGACACACTGGGTGTTATGTCACTGCAACATGTCTTGGTGACATATCACTCTGTATGCACAGGTCAGGAGATAAGCTGCTGAAACAGGTTGCATGACAGTCGCAGTAACAAATTGCTTTGTGTGAACTGGAGAATTTTTGTGGAAATCTTTGTCTCGGCAACAGAATTTTACTGCAACATTATAATCGCACCAATTCAGTCTGATTCGATTTTGTGAGACTTGTTGCAGTGACAAAATTCTGTTGAAGAGACAAAGATTTTCACAAAAATTCTCCAGTACAAACAAAGAAATTTGTCTCTGCGATGTGTCGAAGCAACGTGTTGCTGCAACTTGTCTGTTTCAATATGATTAAGTCAACTCACTTAAGATTCTGGCAAATCCAAAGTCACAGAGCTTTATAACACCATCTTTAGTAATAAGAATGTTTTCGGGTTTTACATCTCTGTGGACACACTGAAAAAAGACACAGAAAACACTTAGCATGAAGCATGAAGTATTAAACTCCACACCTCCAGGTCTGGAGTTCACCATGCGGTCACACATGCCTGCATCAAAGATAGAACTCCTAAGTTATTTTTAAGACTTTGACGCCCTGCAGTTAATTCATTGAATTCAATCATTAATTCAGTTATTGAACTCAACTAATTAAGTTCATGTGAAGTATGGTCAAGGCTGTGCTCTTAGGAAAATTGAAGGGAGCCCAGTGCTCTGAACCTGTAAACTCCAGGGTGCCCAGCATATGATTTGTACGAAAAATCTGAGATTTTCTAGTCGCCCAAGAGCAAAAGTTTGGCGCCA